GATATTTATAATTATATAAAGCTATATCTAGAATTGCTTAAAAAAAATAAAAGTATTTTAGAAATAGTATCATGTCTTATATTTCTTCAGAGGTTATATGAATTTATACAAATAGTTGATATTTATAGCTTTAGTATTATTATAGCTAGAATATCAACTAAAAGCTTTTGATGAATAATTCAAATATCAAGATTAATTGTGAATTATAGCTAGAATTTGTTTTTAGAACTTCTGAATACTATATTAAATTATCTTAACAATATATAAAGAAATGATCTAATAATTATTATATTTATAAATAATTAATTTGTATAGTATTTTTCAAAGCTAAGTTTGTTAAAATAGTTTAACCATTTCTTTATACAAATAAATCAACTAGTTAATCTAATGAATATTTATTTTTACTAATTAATCTGAGTTATCTGAGTAGCAGTAAATTAATTTAGTTAATAAATCTTAAACAGGTTATCTAAATAACTCTTATATAAGTATTATCTCTAATAGTATAGAACAACTTTTTGTAGTAGAGAGAATTTATTTAAAGTTGTTAGTAGATTATTAGAGGAAGGTTATAAAATCTATAGCTCTAGTATTGTTTTAGTTAGAGAACAAAATTTCTCTGTTTCTAAAAGGAATAAAATTACTGTATTAAAGAAGGTATCTAAGTAGTTTTAGTCTTTAAAAGAGAAATTAAAATGAGTGAAGCAGGAATTACAGAGATTAAAAATAACAGAAGCAATAAAGTTAATATCTATAGGAAAGAAGATGTTAGATTTTCTGTTAGAGATAAGTTTTATATTTCTGGTTTTAAAACTAAACTTGAAAAAATATTGATAGTTATAGATTTAAGAAAGTTAAACTAAGCTTGAAAAAATATTAATAGTTATAGATTTAAGAAAGTTAAACTAAGTATTAGTAAAGAAAGTCTTCTAGTTTAAAAGATTAGGAAGATTGCTAAGAACAATTAAAAAAGACTAGTAGATAATTATATTTAATATAAGAGAAAGTTATTTTTTTTTTTTTACTTAGGTGATCTTGTCTTTTATTTTATTAGAAGAAATATTAAAAAATATTTAGACAAGTATATAATAAAAGAAAAAAAGCTATTCTACTTTTAAAACTGCTCTCCTTATTGCAATTCTAAACTCACTTAGCTGTTTAAAAGATGTCTAAATACGATCTGCTACAGTAGCATTTTCCTTCTGAGACTAAACATATATTTAAACATACCTGTTTAGACTCTATTAAAAGAAGGCTACTACCAGCCCATATAAAGAAAGCCTATTTAACTTTAAATTTTAATTATTTCTTATGATCTGCATTTTTGATCCATCTCAAGATTTAGTTGTTTGAATCTTTT